GGCTAGTTTGTGGTTCAGCATTTGCGCAAATGCAGAATCTGTTTCACTGTCCATGGCTAGGCATTCTTGAGTACCCATTTAGCTACCTAGTTTTGCAATATCTTGGGACAGCTCAGCTGCTGCCATAGTGCCCCCAAAAGAGATCAGCTCTATAGATACCTGAACAACATAATGGCCTTCCCATGTACTGTATATAGTCACTATAACTGGCCAACCTGTAAAAAAGCCATTGCTTGTTGAGATAGCAGATGCCAAGGTCTCAGACTGAATCTCCTACCATCTTCAAATAAAAGTGGAAAAGATTTTTGTCTGAAAGCCTGCAGAACAGCTCCACATCTCAGCTTCTTAAGATACTATTAAGTCCCTTCCAGAACCTTTCTAATTTTGTTAGTAAACCAAAAGTATCTAGCTGATTTAGTGAACAACCTTACTACCTGTGTAATCATTTGACTGACCTTTTCTTTGTTCTTGACTCTCTTCTCCACCAACTTCTGTTTTAGGCGATAGCTAAGTAGTGCTTATTTCTTCATTTTCAAACATTTTCCTTTTGTGATTTGACTGGCCTCTTGCTTATTTCTTTTGTTATATCCTGGCAACTGAGATACAGGTTAATTTCTGAATCTTTTGTTCATTAAATTTGTGCCATAAATCTTGACTAGCTCTGAAGCTCTCTCTAGGTTCACCCATTCATTCTTCTCACATCTTACCTGAATGTTCCCAACCTGGGTGACTACTGACAATGACTAAGTTCATCACAAATTCTACTAGGCCACTGATGGTGTTCATGCAATGTCCTAAGCCACAAAGCGGCTTGCTTAGTCTGGTCTGTGTGAATTCAACCAGTTGTGACTTAATAAACCATATTTAAAATCATAGGTTGCCACAATTATTACAATGTAGTTTAGTGAGCCCAGCCATTATAAACTGTGGGCTTATGGCTTACACAGTATGTGAACCCTACCAGGTTGTTAAAAAAAGGATAATTAAAACAAGTTGATAGAATTTTTTGAAAACAATTTAAATAAAGGTACTGATTAAAGAATGGTTTGGGAAACTAGTAAAGCTTTTATTAGAAGTTATTTTATACAATATAATACTGAACTTAAAAAGAGGACTCAAGATAAAACATAGGCTATTTTGGATGAGATAAAAAGAAGAATTAAAGAAATCACCAGGAAAGACAAGCATTTCACATCAAATTAAAGTTTTACAGCAACAGTTATCTATGTTAACAATAAGAGAAATCAAAATAAAGATGAACTATACTAAGCAAAAGAATTTTGAATTTGCGAACAAACCAGGGAAATGGTTAGTGTATAAGTATAAATTAAGAAAAGACAAAGGAAAGAAGATGATTTTGAAACTTCAAGAAGGAGATACTGAATTAACAGATAACATGGCTATACAAAAAACTTTTTATCAGTATTACTGTAACTTATATAAAGGACATGATATTTCCTTGGAAAAAATGAATAATTACTTAAAAAAACAAAATTTACCAAGGCTTGCAGAAAACCAAAGACAGATTATGAATGGACCTATAACAATAAGGGAAGTTTCCGAAGCTATAAAAAAGATTAAACCATGAAAGGTACCAGGACCACATGGACTGCCAGGTTCTTGTTATAAATGTTTTGAGGATGAACTTTTACAACCCCTCCAAAATACAATTAATTCCATACTACAAGGAGGAAAGATGCCAGAGACTTGGAAAGAGGCTAATATAGCATTAATACCTAAAAAGGGGCAAGTTCTAACAAGAAATTATACACCAATATCATTATTGAATAATGATTATAAGTTGTTTACAATGATTTTAGCAGACAGATTGAAAATAATTCTGCAAGAATTATGAGGATCAATGTGGATTTTTACCTAAAAGACAGTTAAAAGGCAATGTCAGAACAGTGTTGGATATTATAGAATACTTGAAATAGCATAATGACAAGCTGCATTAATCTTCTTAGATACAGAGAAAGCTTTTGACAATTTAAATTGGCCTTTTTTATTTAAAGTTTTGGAAGATATGAATTTTGGAAAGAACTTTATAAAATGGGGAAAATCAATTTATACTTCACAGACAGCACAAAATATTGTTAATGGTGATCTGACAAAACCTTGTGAGATACAAAAAGGAACAAGACAAGGTTGCCTATTATCCCCTCTTCTGTTTATTTTGGTTATTGAGGCTTTGAATAGAGATATAAGGTGAGATGAGAGGATAACGGGTGTAAAAATTTTAAAAAGAGACAAGTTGAGAACTTTTGCAGATGATCTGGTGCTGGTTTTGGAAGAATATTTAAAGGGGACTGAATTACTAATAAGAAAATTAAAAGAATTTGGTGCATTAGCTGGTTTTAAGATTATTAAACAGGAGGCAAAAACGATAACAAAAAATATGAAGACACAAGACCAAACAGAATTGATGAACAAAATGGGTTTCAAGATTGAGAAAAAGGTAAAATATTTGGGTGTTACTTTGGCAAATATGAACTGTATGTTATTTCAAAATAATTATGTTAAGACATGGAATGAAGTTAAAAAAGTTAAGTTAAGATGGGACAAATTACAATTGTCATTGTCGGGGAGAATGCTGTGATTAAGGTTAATGTTTTGTCTAGAATGTTATTTTTGTTTCAGACAATACCTCTTTTGACAACTGATGTACTAATTAAACAGTGGCAGAAAGATATATCTAAATTTATCTGGCAAGGGAAAAAAACACAAGTCAAATATAAGATGCTTAAAGAAAGAGGAGGTTTGGGTTTACCTGTTTTGAAACTATACTTTGCAGTTTGCTGTTTAGTTTGAAAGAATGGGTGATGCTGAGAAACCGAAGATTATTGAAGCTAGAAGGACACAATTTGAGGTTTGGGCAGCATGGTTATTTATAGTATGATAAAGCTAAAGTTAATGTTGACTTTAAAAATCATTTTGTTAGACCAGCCGTATTGAGAATATGGATTAGATATAAATCCAGATTGAGTCCTAAATTACCTTTGTGACTCACAAGAAGCATATTATAGAAGAGAAATGATAACTAAACATAAATGGTTAACTTATGGTGA